TACAAGTATAGAATATAACCTTCCTGTAACAGATCCACCTTCTTAACAACTTTACATTGCCGTGGAAAAAAAAGAATAAAAATATAGTCCACTAACCATTGTTCCCCATTAACATGAAAACAATTTTCAACAACAAGTTAATAGACACCCAACAACATTCTAAGAACAACAGCGGGCGGAGAACATGCTACAAGCAGTTGGAGGGGACAAACGTAGGGGAAAAAATAATACTAATCACTCTGAAACACTACCCATGATGAAAAAAGCACAGTAGAAACAATTCGCTTCAAAATCGTGTGGGTTCCACCATGAAGAATACCTTTTAAGTTGAATCTGAACCCACTTTTCGTTTGTCAATTTCAAAACAAAAATACAAAAGAAAAAAAAATTATAAAAGCAAAAGTGAATGGGAAAAAAAAAATTCATTACTTTCACAAAATCTGTAGTTGACTCTTCAATTCACGCAACAGATCAACTTTGGATTGAAAAATAAATGTAAAATCTTAAAATAAAAAATCAGCCACTGTCAATGTGGTGGCCTAGATAGTGAAGAGCGCTCAAAATCAACTCTCTCACACATTCAATAAATCACTTATCTGAAAATGATTTAATCGAGTAATTGCCTTGATAAATCAATTCTCTCACACATTCATAATTTATGCAACTAATTTAAAGTAATTGCCTTGATCATATTAATTGAGTAATAGTAATGAAAATAAAAATAATTACCAGAACAAAAATTAAACTAGTAATACTTCATTCTATATATATATAGATAAAAGTTTAAAATAAAAATAATGAGGGGCTTTCATATATAAAAGTTTAAAATAAAAATAATGATAGTGAAGGGATTTCATGGCTTCGAATAGAACACCTTAAGGAAGCAATCGAACTCAAATATACAACCAAGAATAGAAAAACTAGACGACGATAGATACCTTTGATTTCAGATACACAACCAAAGAGAAGAGATGAGATGAGATGAGCCTAATAACCCTTAGCAATTGATTCGGCCTTCATCATGAGAGAGAGAGAGAGAGAGAGATTGACAGATTGAAACCCTTGCTATGTTTCCCTTCTGATTAGGTGAACTAGAAGGCAAAGAGTTATTTTGGGAAAAAAAATAATCTAACATTTTATTTTGGTGATTGGAGCCAAAAATTTTATTTTGGCGCTTATTTTTTTCGGTCATACCATTCACAACATAAAATGTGCGCCATAAAAAGTGCAATATTTTCAACGACTAACGTTTTGTACGTTGTGAAAAGTGCAATACTTTTAACGGCTGTCGTATGTGTGTCGTGTATAGTTGATGTACTAACGGCATGCCATAAGCATGTCATAGAAAGTTTTATTATTTACGACTAACATTGCAAGTCGTAAAAAAATCATTATTATTAGCATTCACCATCTACGCAATAGACACGCCGTGGTTAGAAAATTATTTACGACATGCAAAAAAAGCAAGTTGTAAAAGTAAGAATCTACGGCTTGCCTTTATTGTATGTCGTTGATGTGGTGCTGTAAAAAATCAATTTTGTTGGAGTGCAAGTTTGTTATTGGAGGTACAAGAGGCAAATCCTCGCGTCTCTTAGCTACCTCAAGTGTGGTTCCATCAACAACGAACATGGGTGTATCGTCAATGTTGGCCATTCAAATCCTTAAGAAAAGCTTGATCACCAAGGTTTTGTCTGCGATTCCCATAGATGATTCCAATTGTACAAGTATGAAAAATACCTTGCACGTGTACTCCTTGTGATCAAGTTAGAAATCCTCTAAATGATGGTGTTCCTCCTGCGAAACAACTTTGATGAAACAGCAGGTGTGTACCGAAAAAGCCCTCCGACGCTTAACTCAGTTCTCAAGCTCTATATGGGAAAAACTCCGTAAATTCTATAAACTAAAGATGCATTACCTCGTTCTAGGTTATCTTTGAACTTTTATATGTTTCGTGTGGTAGAATCCTAGTAGGACTCTAATTTCTCTTCGTAGAGTCCTATTAAGAGTCCATCTCTTATAGGATAAGGCCCGTCCTTTAACACCCTTATCACTAAAGTCCCAGTTAAACGACCTAACTCCCAGGCTAGCAATCGAGCTAAACAAGCCACTAGCCGGGTTGCATGTTAACTGTGCAGTCGCATAGGTTGAAACTAACTCTAAGTAAGAATGCCAAGCAAAACATTACAGCGTACTAACCTTGTTCGGCAAACCTTTGTCAAGCTAAACATACCAGTTAAAGACTTAACATGACCTTCCAACCCGGTCAATAACTTAGCATGCTTTTCTGCACGGTCAGCATCATACATCGTTTGTCCGCTAACACTTGAATGTCGTTTGCAAGGTCGACATCCAAATACCGTTTGCCTGGTCTAGCTTGATAAGCCTAGCAAAGCCCGTTTATAAGGTCTGTTTGCAAGGTCGCTAGAGTTAAGCTTAACAAAGTCCATTTGCAAGGTCGCTAAAGTCAAGTATCCGTTTGCAAGGTTGCTAGAGTCAAGCCTAATAAAGTCCGTTTGCAAGGTCGCTAGATTAGGCCTTGATGGGCTTTGTTGGCCTACCAGTTCGGTAGAAATGTCCTCCTCAACTGTTGAAACAAAAATATCATACGAGTTCATATAGAAATGTGTAATAATTTTTCAAATATCAAACTAAAAAATAATATTTCCAAAATAATATTTTTTAGGTACATCTAAATTATGTGTATTTAAAAAATAAAAAATTCTTTCAAAATATTAAAAAAATTATTAAAAACAAAAAATATAAAAAAAAAATCAATTTTTTAAAAACTAAATTCAAAATATTATAACCAAATAAGATAACTAGTACAGTAAACAAAAATAAAATAAAATTCCGTGAGGAAAACGTTTTAACAAACGGAAGCGTAACGAAAAACAGCACAACAGACCCACCACCATTAATCTTTGATTGATTCATTGTATTTAGGACCTCTCAACAAGTTTTTGTTTTGGGGACTATGAAGGTTGAAACTAACTCTAAGTAAGAACGCCGAGCAAAACATTACGGCGTACGAAGGTTGAAACTAACTCTAAGTAAGAACGCCGAGTAAAACATTACGGTGTACTAACCTTGCTCGACAAACCTTTGTCAAGTTAAACATACTGGTCAAAGACTTAGCATGACCTTCCAACCCGGTCAAGAACTTAGCATGCTTTTCTGCATGGTCAACATCATACATCGTTTGTCCGGCTAACACTTGAATGTCGTTTGCAAGGTCGACATCCATGTATCGTTTGCCTGGTCTAACTTGATAAGCCTAGCAAAGTCCGTTTATAAGGTCCGTTTGCAAGGTCGCTAGAGTTAAGCTTAACAAAGTCCATTTGCAAGGTCGCTAAAGTCAAGTGTCCGTTTGCAAGGTTGCCAGAGTCAAGCCTAATAAAGTCCATTTGCAAGGTCGCCAATGTCAAGCCTAACAAAGTCTATTTGTAAGGTCGCCAAAGTCAAGCCTAATAAAGTCCGTTTGCAAGGTCGCTAGATCAGGCCTTGACGGGCTTTGCTGGCCTACCAGTTCGGTAGAAATGTCCCTCTCAACTGTTGAAACAAAAATATCATACGAGTTCATATAGAAATGTGTAATAATTTTTCAAATATCAAACTAAAAAATAATATTTCCAAAATAATATTTTTTAGGTACATCTAAATTATGTGTATTTAAAAAATAAAAAATTCTTTCAAAATATTAAAAAAATTATTAAAAACAAAAAATATATAAAAAAAAATCAATTTTTTAAAAATTAAATTCAAAAAATTATAACCAAATAAGATAACTAGTACAGTAAATAAAAATAAAATAAAATTTCGTGAGGAAAACGTTTTAACAAACGAAAGCGTAACGAAAAACAACACAATAGACCCACTACCATTAATCTTTGATTGATTCATTGTATTTAGGACCTCTCAACAAGTTTTTGTTTCGAGGACTATGAAGGTTGAAACTAACTCTAAGTAAGAACTCCGAGCGAAAAATTACGGCGTACTAACCTTTCTCGGCAAACCTTTGTTAAGTTAAACATACCGGTCAAAGACTTAACATGACCTTCTAACCCGGTCAAGAACTTAGCATGCTTTTCTACACGGTCAACATCATACATCGTTTGTCCGGTTGACACTTGAATGTCGTTTGCAAGGTCGACATCCAAGTACCGTTTGCCTGGTCTAACTTGTTAAGCCTAGCAAAGTCCGTTTATAAAGTCTGTTTGCAAGGTCGCTAGAGTTAAGTCTAACAAAAATCCATTTGCAAGATCGCTAGAGTCAAGGGTCCGTTTGCAAGGTCGCTAGAGTCAAGACTAACAAAGTCCATTTGCAAGATCGCCATAGTCAAGCCTAATAAAGTCCGTTTGCAAGGTTGCCAGTGTCAAGCCTAACAAAGTCTGTTTACAAATTGCCAGAGTTAAACCTAATAAAGTCCGTTTGCAAGGTCGTCATATCAGGCCTTGATGGCTTTGCCCGGCCTACCAATTCAGTAGAAAATGTCCCTCTCAATTGTTGAAACAAAAATATCATATGAGTTCATAGGAAATGTGTGATAACTTTTTCAAATATTAAACTAAAAAAATAATAATTCCAAAATAATATTTTTTAGGTACATCTAAATTATGTGTATTTTGAAAAAAAATTCTTTCCAAATATTAAAAACAAAAAACTATAAAAAAAAATCAATTTTTTAAAAACTAAATTCAAAAACTTATAACAAAGGGTCACGTTGTAGTGTGCAACCCTTAAAAGGTTGCACACCATATGCACCTTCATTATTGACCATTAGATTACATAAGTTGATCTTGACGGTTGAATTATTTAATTTTGAAAAATTTGACACCGGAGCAACCGGTTGACCTTGCATACCATATGCAAGGCACACATGAGAAAAGTCCTATAACAAAATAAGATAACTACTACAATAAATAAAAATAAAATAAAATAAAATTCCATGAGGAAAACGTTTCAACCACCGGAAGCGTAACGGAAAACATCACAACAGACCCACCACCATTAATCTTTGATTGATTGATTGTATTTAGGAGCTCTCAACAAGTTTTTGTTTCGGGGACAATGAAAGTTGAAAAAGGTTACTCCAGTGATGAATAATGATTGCTCTAATAAAAGCGTCCACTCCCAAACATGTCATTGTCCGTGACCGACACCACCCCAAAGCGCTCAAAACCCTCACAAACAATCACTCTCATCCATGTATTGTTCTGTGTTGTATATCTGTATTCTATTCTAAAACCACTTGATTCATCTCAATCGCACCTCTTGTAATGCTGAATTGCCAACCAGATCCGTACAATTAAACCCTAGGTTTGTCGCCGGACATGCACGGTCACAGTCGCCTCGGCCGCTCCTCGCCGCCCTCGTCGCCGCGGTTCCGCCACGCCCGCACCAAAAGTGTCGGCGGCGGCGGTGGTGTTGGTGTTGGTGGTACGAAGCTGCAGAATATTTTGGAACGGTTGTTGTATGTGCTTATATCGGCGATGTTTAGGCGGCGAGGTGTGCTATTGTTCGCGCCGTTGTTGTATATATCAGGAATGTTGTTGTATATGGGGACGTTAGGGTTTGATGTTGTTGTTGTTAGCAAGATTAGCGGTGGTAGTGTTGCTCCGCTGGGGTCTGTGTATCGGAGTCCTCAGGTTTTTGAGAAGCTCTGGCCATTCATGGAAGCTCAAAACAATGGAAGCTCCCCCAATGCGGTAAGCTTAAAAATTAAAATAAAGAAAATTGTTATTGATTTGTTTGATTGCATTTCAAAAAGTCATTATATGAAAAAATTCGGAGTTTGAGAACTTAGAGAAAAAGACAATGAGGAGTTCCTCTGTATAATCTGTACTGGATCGCTTTCAAGGGACAGCGAGGCTGTTTATTGCAGCTATGGAGTTACTTCTAGTTTTTTTGTTTTTCAGGAAATCTGTGTGGAGTTTTTGGTGCAGCTTGTGCTTGTAGTTGTAGTTTATGAGGTAGAAATAGTTTAGAAGAAGCTAAAAAGGCTGACTATTGGGAAGCAATGAAGATGTGCTTTTAGTTTTTGTTTTTTTGATTATCAGTTTTTAGCTTGTTAGAACTTGCACCAAATAGACCCACTAACTTTTGGCAAATCTTATAAACTGTCACTATATATATCAAATAAAAACTGGTGTACCAATGCACGAGATATGGAAAGGCAATATGTAGGTAGCCTTACCCATTTATGTGCCTATTTACTTAATTTGAGTGAGACTCGTAATTGATAAACGAGATAAATTTTACTTTTCAATGTTTCATTTTCTTTAGTTGATTCCCTTCAACATTTTAGAACTCTTCTTGGGAATTTGTCTTAATACACTAGCATTTTCTGTCAGCATGTCCATCATATGAATGAAAAATTTTATTGCGATGTAATGAGTTAATGTGACTGACAAAAAATGCTCACATTGAAAATCCACAGTTAATGCATGCGTGGAATCCAAAGCTCCATAAAGGCTGGAAGCCTTGTGTCAATTATAGCATTTCTCAATCAGGTTTGAGTTTGTTGTACACCACTTATCTTTTAATTGATTAGCAGACAAGAGAATTTAAGACTGCATGCCTAGATCAGGCTCTACTGTGTTAATCTAAGCATATTACAGTTTTAGAGATATTATCTAAGCATATTAGCATATTACATTGAGGTTGGAAGCATTGCATCAATCATAGAAGGATAGATTATAGAAATAGAAGTGCTTTATTCATGTGAGAGTTTTTTGTTCCTATCAAATTCCCCCAATTCATTTGCCACTTTTCTCTATGTAAGGTTTTGAAATTTAAACAGATATATCTTGATATTATTGATTGAGAATGATCACTACAGAAAATGGTATGAGGTTGTTGGGATCTCAGCTGAAGATGTTTATCTACGATACAAGGTGTGGGTGAGTGTGGGGTTTATGGGAATGGTGACTACACATGTAGTATGGCATTGGGTTAATAAAAACCAAGCCCAGTGAAAATTGATGTAGGCCTTCTTCTTTATCTTTTCTTCTTTGGGATTGGAGATGACTGATTTTATACTGAACTGCTGAAGGAGATGGAGCCTCTCTATTTATAGGAAGGTTAGACCATGAGGCCCAATTGATGGCTTTTGTTGGCAGCAAAACTTTAGGAAACTTTTAAATGAAGATAGTTTCAATGATTTGATCAATCATGAACAATGGGATGACTCTACCTTTGAATAGAGAATGGTTCATAAAATCACTTTCAAAATTATATCATAGATCAAGTTAAGTGATAACCAAAGCAATGCTCTATCACATAGTAATTGGTAAATGGTTGCAGTTGCATGAGATGTAGGAAAAGTGAAAAAAACTTCTTTGGCCTTGTAAAATTTGGTTGCTTTAGAAAAGCATTGGACATGATATCCATGTATTTACGGGAAAAGAAACTGAAGAAGAGGATAAAATTTATCTTTTAGACAGTTAGGCAAATTGCAGAAGAGGCTCACTTTGTTAAGGCTCTCATAATTTTAGGAAGGATTCAATGGATCTTTCATTTGTAAAGCTTCTTCAAAGTTATTAATGGATGTATAATTTTCAGTAGAAGATTACCAACTTGCTATTTTGTTTGATTTTTCTTTTGTGCCATTCAAAGAATTTGATTGATATTTATTGACCAAAAATTATGTAAATATGAAAGAATTGTATTGTTTTAAAGCTGGTTTGTGGTCGATCTTTTTTTTTTCTTTTAATATTGATAAGGTAGGATTTGAGTAGTTATTGGGTGTCCAATGGATTTCCCATGAGATGACCTAATTATATCTTCAATATGGCCTGGTACTGTATTGAACTATGTAATTTAAATTTTAAAACTGAAACCATACTTCTCGTATACAATTGAGTGAAGATATGTGCTTACCATATGAGAGGTTCTTTCCTCTGGATCAATTATACACAAATTAGTGTGTTTTCTCATGCAAGTTGTGGGTACTTGTACTGTTTAGTCACCAAATTTTCCAAAACCTAAAGTTACTAAGAAATGGGTCCAACAATGTATATCAAGCTATCCAACACCGTCCCTCATGTGCAACCCCGTCTTGCACGTGGAGAGACAAACAGAGAACCAAACAAAAAGAGAAGCAAACAACCAAACAACGAGGGAGAAACCAAACATGAACAAAATACTAAATGCCAACAGAGAAACTTGAACCCAAGACCTCTTTCAACTAGGGCTTTGATACCATGTTAAGTCACAAATTTTCCTAAAAGCCTAAGCTATTAGGAAATGGGCCCAACAATGTATATCAAGCTGTCCAACATGTACCACACTTGCCTTTTTTTGATTTATCACTAAAGTCTTTTGTTGTTGATAAAAAAAAAAAAAAAAAAAAAAAAAAAAAATTACCACCCAAAAAAAAAAAGAAGGAAGGGAGAGATACAATTACCAAATTGTTAAAAAAAAAAAAAAAAAGAAAAAAACTTGCATTTGGTAAATCAAACTATTTTGTCCCAACGTAAAGGCCCATTATCCAATTTCTATTGTTAAAAAGTTAGTAAATAGTTACATTACCAAGTGCATATTATTCCCTATACTTATTTTTGTTTATAGTAATCCATAGCCTCTCGCATTCTTTCTTCTTCCTCTTCTTTTCCTTTCTTCTTCCCCTTTTTTTTGGCCAATTGATCCAAGAGTGTGGGAGGGTAAAGAAGACTGTGACCCATAATTTATTTTTGTTGTAGTCACATGAGAATATTTTCTCCCAAAGTAGTTTGTTGGACAAGCCTAGAAATTATTATGTACTATCTCTATTAATTACAAAACTATTGTGATTAGAAAAATTATTAGATACTCCCGTAGTACTATATGATATTATCTATGTGATACTCTTAGTAAATGAAAACCTATAATACATAAGTGAACAATTCTCTATCTTCTAACTGTTTAACACAGATTCTACCGGTAAAAATTTTCACTATGCGATTGATTTAGAGCAACACGTAAGCAATGTCACATGGTACTCGAAGACTACCGAATGATGACCCTTGTGATTATGCTACAAAGAGACGCACCATAAGAAAAATGTCTTAATTACGAATAATTAAAATGAAAAGGTTATGAACAGGAAATTATTCAATATTCTTGGAGCATTGCTAGGTGGTGCTCCAAAGTAACAATTATTGATCTAAACTATGGGACCCACCACTTTTGTGTCAGAGTTATAGGAGACAACTGATGATGTGTCTAACTCGTAAATGAAAAGGAGCAATGCTCTAAGAACATTAAATAATTTCCCGGTATGAACTATTGTGAATTTATTACAAATCAATGTGATAAAATTACAAAAAAAAAAAAAAAAAAAAAAAAAAAAAAAAAAAAAAAAAAAAAAAAATGCACCCTTCATTCTACTCCACCACCCGTTGCGGCATTAGCTTTTGCTGGAATTGATAACGAATATACATAACATCACACAGCACATGACATTATGTTGTGTACAACGTACTGAAATATTCAATAATTTGGTATAAACTATTTACAAAACATCACAACCTACATTTTTTTGTGTACGTCCACACTGTACAACAAAACATTATTATAGCATACCCAAAAAAAATACACCCTCCATTATACGCTCCTTGTACCTTCCCGGTTGACCAAAATATTTTTTTTCCATACTATTAATTCAAACTTAATTATTTAAAATTATTATCTTATAATTTAAATTTATTCAATTTATAAATTTTACATTCAATAAATTTAATTTATATCACATAGAGTTCCGAGGCTTTTTCATACTTTTTAAACTAAAGTAGTGTTTGTTTATAAAATTTGAAAAAAATAAAAATATATGTGTAAAATATGAGGGAAATATAATTATATTTTATTCATATTTATTTATATTTTTTCTTTGTTTTTTTTACTTTCTAAAGTCATATTAGCCCTGTTTGGTAGAGCTGTGGGAAAATACTTATAGTTTATACCTTAACAGCTTATAGCTTATAACTATGAACATAAGCTGATTTCTAACTTATAAATTAAGCTTCTCCTGCTCCACTCAAAGAATAAGTTGATTTTTGACTTACAAAAGCTATAAGCTGTATTGTTAAACTAAACCAAACACATCAAAATAACTTAAATTAAGTTGAAAGCTGAAATTAAACTGTACCAAACAGGGCCATTAAACTAAACATAAATCAAATAAAAATATTGTATAAAGTATAGGGAGTTATAAAAAAATTTGAAAGAATAAAAATTATTTCAAAATGATTGAGGTACAATGAGTTATACATTAAATTATGTAAATAAATCTTGTACCTCCAACATTTAAAAAAAAAAAATTACTTCTTATTTTTTTTGAAATTCTTCCTAAATTATACTTTGTCCCTTTTATATTTTTTATTTTTTATTTTGGCTCTTAAATTTTTATTTTTTATTTTTTTCATTCTAATCTTCATTTGCCAAATGGGGTTTTAGCTAAAAAATCACATCACTACCTATTTTTTTGTACATTTTTCATAAAAAAAAAATTAAAAAATAATTAAAACAACTAATTTTCAAACAAGACCTAGACCATCTCCTTTTGTTTCATAAAATTTAAATTTGATGAAAAATCGTACAAAAATTGTGCTTTAAGACCATATCTAATGGTTCATCAATTATGTCATCAAATTTAAATTTGATGAAAAAATACATTTTTTTCTACTCCAATGGTTTCATCAATTGAGTATCAAATCGAGGATATCATAAATCTTTCACCAAATTGAAGACGCTTATAGTTTTCATCAAATCACTGTTCATTGTCGTTGAATTTTTACCACCGGATGACCACGTTTAGACAACAAATTGTGAAAAAAAATACATTGGCCAGTCGACTGGTCGGACATCCGTCCGATCGTTCGCTCAGTTGATTGATGTTTTGATAAAAGCTCAAAATCCTCCGTTAGAACACTTAATATCAAATGAAGTTTTTATACAATTTTTTACTCAAATTCAGTGGGGAAAAAAAATGCACCGTTGGAGATGCTTTAAGACCATCTCCAATGGTTCATCAATTCGGTCATCAAATTTACATTTGATGAAAAAACACCTATTTTCATGCTCCAATTATTTCATCAAATAAGTATCAAATTGAAAATATCAAAAATATTTCACCAAATTAAAGACGCTGGGAACTTTCATTAAATCACTGTTCATAACCGTTGAATTTCCACCACTGGATGTCCTCTCAGATGACTGCCTCTAAGCAACAAAATTATGAAAAAAATACATTGGTCGGTCGACCAGTGTTTTGATAAAAGTTCAAAATCTTCATTTTGAGCATTTGATATAAAATGGAGTTTTTACTCAACTCTGGAAAAAAAAAAAAAAAAAAAAAAAAAAAATGTACCACCCTTGCCACGCAACAAGCCTTAGGGGTGCCATGTCATCACCATCTTGACATCACCTTCAAGTGGCAGTCTTTCTAAGCGAACTAATTGGGGGTCATATGCCTAGCCTCAATGGAGGCATATAAACCACCAAGTATGGATGTTTGGCCCACTAGAATGCTTGCTGCCCCGGTCGTGAAAGAGCCTGAGGCATGGCCTATTGAGAGTTCATCACCAACTCTCCTTTCTCTAAAATCTTTCCCTTTCTCTCTGTAGTTTCTTTCTCTTGTTTCTCTAGAATATTTTATGTTGGAGCTCGAGCCACCAAAATCCATGGATTATTGTGGTTTCTCCAATGTCACTGAGAATTGACTTCTTAATTTGGCAGCAAACAAATATAGAAGGTGACTTGGGTCTTCTTTAGGGGTGTGAAAATGAGACACAACAAGGTGTGAGTGATAGGTGTTTAGGTGTATGTAATGAAGTGCAAAACAGTTTGTGTTTTGAGTGGTGACATGAGAGCTTTAAGTGTGGAAACAATTATGTCCTTGACTTGTCATTTGGGTCATGTCTTGTGTACTTACTATGTTGTGAAAGTTTTTTTGTACGAGTTTTTGTTCACAATATAATACAAGGCCTTTTTTGTTTTTTTGTTTGATTTTTGTGTCCACTACTTTTCATTTTCAACATGGCCTATAGAACTCATCAGTTGAGCCAAGCTCATCAGTTCGGTAGTGCTATGGCTGAACAACCCCAGTTCACTCAAGCAAGCCCCCTTCAACCATGTCCCTTCATGCCTCGTTCTTGTAGGGTACATTAAGTGACTAGCATAATCGCTCTGTTAGCGTTCCTCTGCTCGGAAGAAACATAGTTTGGCCCTTGGCTTGCCTTGTCTCTCCTATGCATTTACCCCCTTTGTTGGGATCGTTATCATTACTAACATGGCTATCACTTGGCATCCTAGATTAGGAGCGAGGCCTAGACATCCACTGCTTGAGATCATTGGAGGTTAAGAATTAAGATCAAGGTCTCGTTAAGGTTGCTTGGCTTGCTTCCCTTTGTTGATTAGCTCCTCCTTGACCAGTCTTAGAGAGAAGGACGTTTGCCTAACACCTGACATCTTGAAAGATGTATAATATTTACCCCTTACGTTATGCCGTGATACACCCTCTGAAGGTATCATACTAAATTGTGCAACTGCTATGATATAGAATCTTAAGTTTGAATCCTCAAATGCAGTGATGGACTCAATACTTTTCTCTGCCGAACCAAGGAGAGCTGGCCACCTGTCTATTGGTGAGCTGGCTTGCAACGGCCTTGGAGCCTATATACGGGAGTATCCATACATGTAGAAAACAACAAGAACACTTTGGTTATCATCTTCTACAACTCTAGTGATTAAGGTATCTGACTGCCACCCTCTCTTCCTCTAAGGCTGCTTTGGTTCTCTCCTCTTCTGCCCCCCGACAATTCATGACTATTGAAGTGCCCACCATCTTCCCAGAGGTTCACAACCGACCACCTCACTTCTAAATACCTACCTACCAAGTATGTTATTTTACCTTCAATCTTTTGAACACTGCTTTGAGTATGCATATAGTCCAATTAAAATAAATGTTCGTATTCAACAATGGTTGGTCTAACTCCAATTTTTATGATGATACTTGGGAAGATACAAGTTATAATTAATTTATTGGTGCTAGGTGCTTCACTAGATAGGCTTACCTTTCCAATTTCTTGTTTGTGTGCTACAATGTTTAGGAATTCTAATGCCAAGTTTTGCACGGAGCATCAATTTTCATTGTTTGGTTCTTGTAACTTGATGTTAAGAAATATTAATCTGAATAGTTTTATTTTGTTTGACTGTCCGTCAAGAAGACAAATTGGTCTTTATGTATTTTTTAATGCCTTTTGAAAGCTTTTGCGGAATTTTCCCCCCTCTTTTTACTGCACTGCTTTTTCTTTGGTTATTTTATTAATTGTTTGCCTTATGCTTCAAGGGTTCTCAGAATTGCCGAAGTCAAATGGTTTCCTTATAATTGAAGCGAATGGTGGTTTGAACCAACAACGGTTATCTGTATGTTTGACTCTCTCTCTCTCTCTCTCTCTCTCCTCCCCCCCCTCCTTTTTGAAAAAATATTTGTTCTTCTGGCTTCATACCTAGGGAAGAGATTGCTTTACAGTAAGTGTACAGTGTGGGGCCAAGATTTTGCTTAAGTAGGAATAAATAAGTAAGAAAAGGTTGACCTAGTATATGAGGCTCCTGTTAAAGTGGGGAATGAGCTTTGGGAGGGCAATATGTAAGCAACCTCACTCTCATTTTTGGAGAGGTGGTTTCCATTACTTCAAAACCCTAGCTACTAGGATGCTAATGGCAAGCTGTTACCGCTGGGTCAAGCCACCCTTTTAAGTGGAATAATAATTGCATTTTTAATTTCGTAAGTTCACAAAGATTAAATTCAAAACAATATGTTTTGATATTTCCTATAAAATAGACAAAATTACTGATGTTGAGAATAACAAGCAATACTTAGTAAAATATTATATCACTTTTATTATTAGTGCTTGATACCTGCCCTTTACTTCTCAAATCTAGGTCAGGCATTTACCAATATGTCAAAGTATGGGTCACTTCCTCCCACTGAAGGCATGGTGGTTTGGATTTCATTTGCTGCTCGCATCTTAAAATGATCCAAAGCTTCCAGTAGAAGTGCAAATTATTTGTATATGCTTAGTTATCAACTACACTAGCCTTATGACCTAGAAGCTTGATATGCATACAAATTAATTGCTAATTTTTGTTCACACATTTTTGATGACTAAATGTTTGTAGAGTCAAATCGAGTTATGCTTGTCTCACTTTTTAACACTGAATATATGCATAGGTTAAATACACAACGCACCCCTACAGTTTACTTAAAATCCCAAATTGGTCCTCATTTTTCAATTGTAACAATTAACAATCTACTTACAGTTAAGTTGCAATGTCAACATTTTGTGAATGACCGTTACATGGCCTAACAGCAAATGCACACGTGGCATTTGTAGAGATCGCCACTTGGGCATTTTTCATCAGGCCATGTAATGGTGGCTCACGGAAGGGTAACATAAAAACTTGGTTGTACTTGTAGGGGTTAATTGTTACAATTGAAAAATGAGGGACCAATGTGGGGTTTAGGTGAAGTGCAAGGGTGTACTATATATTTAACCCTTATCTGCATAGTAAAAAATGTCCTTTGAGCCATTTTTGGATTTTATGGATAGTGTAATTTTTTTTTTTTCAATTGTTTCTGATAGGTTCATGAGATTCTCTTGTATATCTTGCTTGTACTTGGATCGCGTTTCCTTTGGTCTCTTTTAGTGAATCCTCTCTTCCTTATATAGAAAAGAGAAACTATTTATATATATATATATATTCTTCCAGTTCTGTATGACATTACACTGATTTCCATTTTTTGAAGACTTCTGTTGGTCAGTTTGAATTTTAAAGCTTCGGTAAATCAGTTTACTGGAGAATAGATTCCTAACTCCCTTGGAATTTTCTATCTGTACTTGCCCTTTGAGATTTTAATTTTTCAATGATGGGGGTGGTCTTCTAAGGACTGGAACAATGATTGGGTATTTGGGCATCAATGATTATAATACATAACTATATTTTGTTTAATGCCTCCTTTTTTTATGCAGATATGTGATGCAGTAGCTGTGGCGGGACTTCTAAATGCAACCCTTGTTATTCCAATATTTCATTTAAATAGTGTTTGGCGAGATTCCAGGTGGCATTTGTGTGATTGTGATTCCAATATTTCTTTGTATAATTGTTGCATTTTTCTGAATAGTTTCAAAGTACTAAAATTTTAAGCTTTATGTGTTTCGTAGACTTTTGTTAACTTCATATCAATCAACTTGTTATCCCGGTGTCTGCTAACAATCCAACTGGCTTTTTCAACTGTAGCTTAGCTTGTCTGAAGTGGACTGCCCCTAAGGCTAAGACAATAATTATTTTTTTTCTGGAGTGTAATCTTGTTAAGGAACTAAATAAATGATTTCGTCTAGTAATTTGATCAACAAAATATGAGCAAACTCAACAACTTTTGCTTTGATAATTTTAGCTGGGACTGCAAATTAGCCAACTAGAGTTGTGCTTGGAGTGCTTAGGGTTGGCTTGTTAAATACAGATCATGTTTTGAGCTTGAGTTGAACGTCATCAGAGATGTTTAAAGTAAAGCTTGGTGTGATTTGATAAAGCTATAACTTGGCTCATCAAACTTGGACTAATTGCATAAACATTTGATACCAATCTGTTTTCCATCTTGACTAGTGGAATCACAACCCATAATAAGTACTCCCTCCGTCCCAAAATAATGGTCCTGTTAAATTCAATGTATAAAGAGAATTGTATTATTGATTGATTTTTATTGATATTTATTACCTAGGAAGCACGGATACGGATACGGGATACGGATACGATACGATACGGATACGGCGATACGACAAAATTTGAAAAACTAGGATACGGGTACGGCGGGGATACGTTCATAAAAAATATTATTTTAACAATTTTTAGTAATGCAATATGTATAAAAATAAAACCTAAAGCAAAAGACAACTTGATAAAGAAGAAAGATTCCTATAAAACTAAGAGTCTTCAAGGTCAATAGCTTCAACTTGTTCCCCTTCATCATTGAATATCACAAGACCTTAGCTAACTCCGTCCCAAAATAATGGTCCCTTTTGGGAAATCCAACTTTTTTTGGTAGTACAATTATTACACTTTAAAAAATTTGATTTTCCAAAATTACCCTTTGATAGTACATTTTTTTGGGAATGTCAATGCCATAATTGTACTTTTTATGTTGTTAATAAATTAAAAGAAGGGCAAAATAGGAAATTTATATTATTTTTGTACTTGATTTTTGAAAAGGGGTTAATATTTTGGGATAATGAAAAATAGAAAAGGGGACTAATATTTTGGAACGGAGGGAGTAGTAATAATCTAAAACAATACAAGTAAACTATCACTATAGCAAATAATAATTTAATCTAAACAAGTACAATAGAAATCAATTATCTGAACAAACTGAAATTGTAATTTAAAACTTTTAAATTGATAAAATGAAACAATATTTAAAATTAGGGGTGGGCTTGGTTCGGTTTAAGAGGAAACCAAGGACCAAAGCACTACCTACTGTTCTATGAAATTTGGAATCAAACCATGCCATGAAAATCATTCACAATGTGCTTACAAAATATTACACACAACCTAATCAAACATCAAGTAATATGCCATCACTTTTCAAACAAGAATTGTTTAGATGATTGTTTCAAACTAGCTTGTTGGTAGTCGACAACTAAATGAGATGAGGGTGTCAAACAATTAAGGGCAAAGGGTTTTTATGAGATTTTAGAGTTAACAAGTATATATATTGGTATTAGTCAGGTACTTGAGTGTCTATGGTAAGTACAAAGTATATATAATATATGTAAATATCTAAACGATCTGATTTGGTTCCAAACCAGAGCCATGGACTGAATCAAGTAGTACGGTTCACCTATATTAAGAATTAGGACCGAACTGTGCATTGAGAAAATTAATTCAGTTTGGATCGGATCAGTTTATGGTTTTTGTCTCTTTTTTTGGCTCAGCCCTATTTACAATGTACAAACTGGAAAACAATTTGAAATTGAATTAAATATACAATGGAGAATTTGGGTGAGATAATTTGGGTTACAAAGGCCGAAGATTCACAAAGATTAAAGATTGTAATCTCTTCCTTTTGGACCTTTCTGAACTGAGGAGAAGTTATCCGCTTTAGAGGCTGGGGCAGATTTCAGTCCCTTTGAAGGGGGAAGTCACTGAAGCCCAAAGTGAAGAATATTGAACTGTAAGAAATAATGTATAGAGAAAGAGAGAGAATAAATTGTATGTATTATTATTGATTGATATATTAATGTTATGGTTACAATGATTCCTATATATAAGAGAGGGTGAGTGTGTAGTAGGTGAGGAGTAGGTGAAGTGGAGGTGGTAGTGGTGTAGTGGGTTAGGTTTAGTGGAGTAGGTGAGGTGGGGTGAAGTAGGTGGAGAGTAGGTGGATTTTAACAGCCCCCCGCAAACTCAAGGGGGATAGGAACTAACCAACTTGAGGAGAAGTTATCCGCTTTAGAGGCTGGGGCAGATTTCAGTCCCTTTGAAGGGGGAAGTCACTGAAGCCCAAAGTGAAGAATATTGAACCAAGGCCCAATTACTGAAAATTTCTGATTGGCAATGAGAGTGATTAATTTAACTTGAGAAATATAAAAAAATCCCAGCAGTAAATAGAAACTCGTAAAAATATGTTTTTGATCTGCTTGCTAGCCTCTCCATTTTTTAAACGGCCTGCTTATAGTAGAAAAGATGTTCTGTTGGTATCATATCATTTAACCATGATGTTTGTTTGCCTGATTTTATTTATTGTTCTTAATAGATTTAACTCCATTACCTTATGTTTCAATGAGTAGACCTGTATATATTTTCCCTTCTTCTTCTAGCTGTGAGAAATCAGAAACCATTAAGCAAAATTTCCTATCTTTTCAAATTGTTGTTGCAGCAAGTTTGGGGACATATTTGATGAGGAATTCTTTATATATGCGCTAAGAAATCATGTGAATGTGGTTAGAGAGCTCCCAGAAGATATACTACAAAGCTTTGACAATAATATAAGCAGCATCGTGAACTTGAGAGTAAAGGGTTGGTCAAGTCCAACCTACTATCTTCAAAAGGTCCTTCCAAAGCTGCTGGAGATGAGGTATGTTGTGCCTTTATTACCGGGATCTGGCTTCTCATTTCCTGCATAACCAAAATAAATAAATAAAGAAAAATTTACTCATCTCGATTTCAAATTATGGTTTGGGCAGAATATTCTGTTGAAATTTGATTCACATTTCAATGGATGGAAATATTAGACCTGTGAAATTTGATTCACATCAAGTCAAAAAACATATATGAGGCACAGATTCTCTGTTTTGGTCAAAAAAATATTGTATACTATCACATAATATGGTACATTGTACCATATTATACCAGAGAAGTCAATTGCTTAAGGGGTTCCTTTCAGTATTTATTGCCATGTCAGTCCCCGTCAGTGGTACATTGTACCAGAGAAGTCAATTGCTTAAGGGGTTCCTTTCAGTAATTATTGCCATTTTTTCTCGAACTGTTTAATAGCAGACATACCTGTGAAGCATTTCAAATTGCGTATATGTTTTTATCATTTTAGAAGTGATGTGTATATCTTAAAATGGTAGTAGTGGCCATGCTTTTTGTCACATTATCAGTTCACTGAGTCATATTCTTAAGTGTTATGCTTGCATTGCATTACCTTCTTTCATGCAATCATGGACCACTGAAACATTTTGTGTAACAACTACAGTCGTTTCGTAAATCATGCTGCAGGGCTGTTCGGATTGCACCTTTCTCTAACAGATTGGCCCATGCTGTTCCTTCAAACATTCAAGGGCTTAGATGCTTGGCCAATTTTGAAGCACTTAGGTTTTCAGAGCCCATACGAATTCTTGCGGCGAAGATGGTTGACCGAATGCTTCATAATAACTCCAAGAGTGGGGGAAAGTACATTTCAGTGCATCTCCGGTTTGAAGAGGTGGTGTTCTTTCTTTCTTAAAATTAAGAATATAGAAGTTCTGAATTTTGTTTTGCAAGTATGTACTACGTCATTATTAAGTGTAAAACCTTCTCTTATTAAAGGATATGGTGGCATTTTCATGCTGTGAATATGATGGTGGCAAGGAAGAAAAGCTTGAAATGGATATTGCTCGTGAAAGAAGTTGGAGAGGAAAATTCCGTAGGAGGGGTCGAATAATAAGGCCCGGTGCAATTCGGATGGATGGTAAATGCCCATTGACTCCGTTGGAGGTATGTAACTATATAATTTTATGATTATCCCAGTATCTTAGTTCAAGTGCTCCAATTAGTTAATGTGGTTGCTTTGGTTGGAGTGGAATCATTTTCCAGGGAGTGTCTCGAATTGGTCTCTGTCATGGTTAGAGAACAGGTTTCTTCAAGTTCTGTATGGCTGGGTGTCTGGGCATGTGGATCCAGATTTGTTTACTTTTTTAGACTTTATAGATGATGTGATTGGCTAGTTTTTGTATCCTTAGCATCTCCTTGATGCTCTTTGTTTTTAATAAAATTTATTTATAAGTGTTGTTTATTTATGTATTTTAACTTTTGGTTTTGCTCTGTCCTAGCCAAGGGTTGGAGGTGAACTCTGGTTTATTTGTCTAGTTTTGATTACCTTATGAGCCATTCATGCATCAGTGTGCCAATTAAAATAAGCTTTTTAGGATTTCAAATTAAAAGCGGGGCAAATAGTTTCAGATATTTTGGACTATGAGTATTTATGATAAACAAGGTAACCCCAATTGATTCAATTATTTCAATTCCTTGAATTATGAAAGTTAGTTGAAGGTACAGATCATTGAGTAATGCATTGAGAGGAGGCTTTGTTTTATTTGTGGTTGTTCATATTCTGGTAGAAATGCACCTTACAGGACCAGCTAACTTTATATAAGCAAGCACATGGTGAAAGGCTGCAGATGTGAATAAAATCTTGATAGTCATGGGTGTCTCTATGCCGCCAACTCATCCTTGAAGACACTAGAGGCAATGTAAAACATTTAGACAACTAGGCTGGAATATTTTAGCCTCCTACATATTGCACTAAGGTTTTCTTTTGCCTCCTCAGTTCCTATTTTCTTCTATTTTTTTCCCTTACCTGCTATATCTAGGAGAAATCAAAGATATTTTGGTACTTAGTTGGGTTTCAATCTACCCTATGCTAAAGAAATTGGATACTGCTGAAGAATAAATATCTTTGTTATTGCTGTTAATGCAGAAGTAAAATTCTGATCACTTTGGGAGGTGGTGCCCTTGTGTGTCGTGGTGTATTGGGCTGGGTCATTTGAGGGTTTAGTGATTCTGATCCATTGTTTAAACATTAGAGCATTTTGAATGATGTGCCTACAGATTCACAGGGTCTGGGTTTGTGGCACCTTCTTTATATATGTGTATATATATATATTAAAAAAAAAAAAAAGACTGCTTTGATTTGTTTTGTCCTGATCAATTTTGTTTCAAGGAGAATGTGAACTTTGTTTCAAGGAGAATGTGAACTTTAGGCTGTGTTTGGTAAGACTTTCCAAAACTAATTCTACCCTTACATTCTAATCCTATGTTTGGTAAGAGTTTTCAAATCATGATTCCAAATCAATGTCAAAACACATTTAGAAAACATGTTTGGTAAACCAGACATTTTTTGAATTTTTGATCTACCTGGTCGTCCGGAACAATACTCTCTCTCTCTCTTTATTTTTTATTTATTTTATTTTTTTTTGTGCAATTGCCAATCGCCATCTGTTATTTGGAGAAAAAAAAATTATATTTGTTTTTGATATTTTTTAAATATAGAAATTATTTCTTTAGACCAAAATGAAAAACTAGTTTTTTGAATTGAATTTTGAAAAGAGTTTGATTATGAGTTTTGAATAGAATTTTCAATAGAGTTTTGAGTTGTGTGTTTGGTCATGAGTTATTAGTTTTTCAATTAAGTTTTGAATTTTTTTTTTTCAAAACTCATAACCAAACAACTTTTCTTATTTCATATGTCACATCAAAAATTCAAAACTCAATTCAAAACTATTTTCAAAAATCATAACTAAACAAATTTTCTCTTTTCAAATTATAATTTCAAAACTCACAAACTCAAAATACAACTCTATACTCAAATTATAGTTCTAAAACTTTGCCAAACACTACCTTGATTTTCCACCCATATTTCTTTGTGATGGAAAACTGATTTATTTTTAATTTCTTTCAAAACCCATGTTTTGTTGTATTTTACTGGAGTTGGAAGCATTTATTGGAGTTTGATCACAAATCCATGTTCATGGAAAAGGCTTTTAGGGGTATTATATATGCTCTATATTTGAATTGAAATACGCTGATAAAGAAAAACCTAGAAGATTGGGAACGCATCTGTGCAATGATGAAGATAATTATAGATTGAGACAGAAGCCTCCTCAATTAATATTTAGAGTTTTTAGTCGACTTCATTTTTGTTTTTGGTAAACTTCGTTTTGCTATGATTTGCATTAAAGAAAAAAAAGAAAAATGAAAAAAAGCAACTTATGATTTCATCTAATAGTTATTATGTGATACTTGCAAATATAATGTTCATTAAGGCCATGTTTGGTTTGCTTTTGAGAAACAAATTTTGGAGAAAATTTTCTAAAATTTTATTTGGTTCAATGATTTTGGAATTTTTTTTTCCAAAATCACTCTCTATCTCCTACACATCAATCAATTACTTTTTCTCTCGCCTCTCTCTTTCTCTAAAAATGAAAAAAAGCAACTTATGATTTCATCTAATAGTTATTATGTGATACTTGCAAATATAATGTTCATTAAGGCCATGTTTGGTTTGCTTTTAAGAAACAAATTTTGGAGAAAATTTTCTAAAATTTTATTTGGTTCAATGATTTTGGAATTTTTTTTCCAAAATCACTCTCTATCTCCTACACATCAATCAATTACTTTTTCTCTCTCCTCTCTCTTTCTCAATCATTTTTTCTCTCTCACACATCTATTCAACTACAAAAAAATATCAAATCATCCCAAACTCTCACACTCCAAAACTATTTCCAAAATATATAACCAAACAAACCAAAAAAATTTCTACACTCTTTCTCTTTCCCCAAGTTTTTTTTTGAAAATTTATCTCCCAAAACCAAACCAAACACACCCTAAGTGTTTTTTGGTCAAATGTATGGATATGTAAGCTAATATTTTTTGAAAGTATTTTGCAATTTCTTTTTACACAGATTATTTTTTAGAATTCCGTTACATGGTAAAAATATTGTGCAGACCAAGTGGACTATTACTAGCTACTTGGGTTTAACTTTTAAGTTTTTGGGTCATGTTGATAGATCCACTCCATTCAAGTTGCTGGGCCAGTAGGCCACTTGGGGCGAGGTTGTCTTTTTTATGGACTTCAACTCTTTCTCTTTATCTCTCTCTTTTTTTTTTGTAGCAACTCTTTTAATTTTTTGAACTTTAATGTCTTGATTGAGTGCATCTAGTTAGAGTTTGATGGTCCTTAAATCAAGTTTTTCTGGTTTTGTAGGTGGGAATGATGCTTAGGGGCATGGGTTTTGATAATAATACCACTGTTTATGTTGCTTCGGGAAAAATTTATAAAGCTGAGAAGTATATGGCCCCACTTAAACTAATCTTTCCACGTTTAGAAACAAAGGATACGTTAGCTTCCCCAGACGAACTTGCTCCATTCCAGGTATTATGCTGGTCTTGTGTATGTGTTCTTAATGCAATTTTTGTATTTTTCAATCAGAAAAGGTAAGCCTTTGCAATAACCTCTCTGATGTAGGGGCACTCGTCTAGGTTGGCTGCTCTTGATTATACAGTTTGCCTTCACAGTGAAGTCTTTGTCACAACTCAAGGTGGGAATTTCCCCCACTTCTTGATGGGTCACAGGCGCTACTTATATGGAGGGCATGCCAAGACAATCAACCCTGACAAGAGAAAACTAGCACTATTATTTGATAGCCCCAATATCAGGTGATCTTCAGTATAACTCTCCATCCAACTAACTTTTTTTACTGGACCTTTAATGCACTTATCTATATGCGGGAACACAAGCTGTTAGCTCTTCATTAATTTCTTATTTGAATTCCATGGTTCTATTGAAGAATAAGTTGATCATGGATATTGTATGTTTTTCTGTTCTCTTACTACCTTTGGAACAATTTGAGTTGGATACACAATATATGCTCCCTGGAGAACTAATGTTATTCTTTGAGTACAACATTACATCTTGTTTTACAGTGTTATAAACAGAGGTGTGCGATGAGTCCTTTTGACATCCAAATGCCTAAAAAATTGATTGGAAAGTCTAGATTTATAGCATCATGTTTTTTTGCTATATATATACATGTATATACATATGAATGCAAAAGAGGAAAAAATAGTGATTCTTATGATTAATAAATATCACTTGTGATCCAACTATTAGGAAATATGTGAGATGTACTTACATAATAATAAAAAAAATTATGTATGCTTGTATCTGAACAGCAAGCTAAAGTTTCTCTCCATATATATTAAACATATTCTGTGGTTGTAGATAACAATTTTGTGGGTCTGTATAGTTACTTTCAATATGTAGTATTCAAATGGCTGAGAGTTTGTCTGATAAAGTTGGAGATATTCAAGAAAGTTTGCAGTTAATTTGATTGTGGAGGAAGCACTGTCATCATTTTATCATGAACAAAATTTAAATCAGGCATTTCGTCTGTAGTTTCACCATGAGGCATGGCATGGATTTAGGTGCCATTTGCCTGTTGCAATGTTTGCCTATAAGATGAAGACTGCCTTTTGAGAGTGTAAAACATTGCTGTTTTTGCTTTTATCTGCAAACTTGTCTTTCTGTTTTCTTGCATTGATAGCTTTGCAACCGACGCTTCATTCTGCCTACTCTTTGTGGATGTTTTGATGATTGATCCGATTGAATCTAAGATAGGAATAGTTGGTTTTGGATATTTTTTGTTAACCATTTCATATATTTCACTTGCCTGCCAAAGAAAAAAAAAGAATATGTACATATATATTTTTTGTTTGTGTCAGAGATATCCTCAAACAAGTCCTGAATTGTATTATAACATGTTATTCTCTTCAGTTGTAGGCACCAAATGCAAATAAAAACTAACACCAATTTCATTTTTATATGTTTACTTTTATCTGCAAACTTGTCTTTCTGTTTTCTTGCATTGATAGCTTTGCAACAGACGCTTCATTCTGCCTACTCTTTGTGGATGTTTTGATGATTGATCCGATTGAATCTAAGATAGGTATAGTTGGTTTTGGATATTTTTTGTTAACCATTTCATATATTTCACTTGCCTGCCAAAGAAAAAAAAAGAATATGTACATATATATTTTTTGTTTGTGTCAGAGATATCCTCAAACAAGTCCTGAATTGTATTATAACATGTTATTCTCTTCAGTTGTAGGCACCAAATGCAAATAAAAACTAACACCAATTTCATTTTTATATGTTTGACAGATGGGAGAGCTTTAAACGCCAATTGCAAGATATGCTTTATCACAGTGATGTAAAGGGAAGTGAATTGAGAAAGCCCAGTGGCTCACTCTACACATATCCAATGCCGGCTTGCATGTGTAAGCAGCATGCAGATGTCGCAAAGGAGGAAATTGGTAACACAGCAAAATAAACTTTGATCTTGGATTGTATATATAATGTTGTCTGCAAGTGTTCGGAGTTTTTATACTAAGCATATATATATGTATGTGTATATATATATATATATATATGAGTTTTTAACATCCATTCTTTTCATTTGTATTGAGGGGAGAAATTCCAAGGTTTTGATTCTTTCATATTCATTGACTCAGCTGTAGTTTTTATAGTGTGATACTCAAAATTCATTGTATATGACACAGTGGTTGTGCATAAGAGATTATTATTTGTTTATTTTGTTGAGGAAATAGGAATATGATATAAAACATTAGTGTTTATTGGTTTTTACAGATTTAGCCAACACGTAGGCTGGCTTAATATAGACTGGAATACTTTAGAAATACAGAGACACTAAACTTCTAATAGATTTAGTATCCTTAATAATTGTAGCCATGTTCCACTCGGGATCACATCTGCCATTCAAAATATTGATCAAAAGTTGGTAGTCTTGAGTATTGATACTCTGGTAAAGCTCCACCCCATTGCCCATTGCCGCGCATCTTGGCACACCCGAGCTTCTGTTGCCAAAGGATTGTAAAGGTGAAGTGAGAAAGCCTTTTGGTCCACCACCAACCGATCTGCATTGAAGCACACCCAAGCAATACAAAAGTCCAGACCTGAGAATCTGCATCATTAGTAGATATATTTACAGCAGAAAACCTGTCCAGAGGTTGTTCGTAAGTGGTAAAACAGAATATAGCCTATTATTAAAGCCATTTATGAGTTCTTGAATATGGTGCACAACTTGGGCAATGTTAATGGTTTTTCCTTGAAAGGTTGCACTATTTCTTTGTTTCAAGTTAGTCCAGAGAATCACAATGGAATGAATGATCACATCTTCCTCCTTCACCAGTTCCATCCACTTACTAAACCATTCTTTAGTTTCTGGTTCTCCACAAGAAAAATCCAAACTCAAGGATGATCACCTCTATATTCTCTGTAAATTTGGGCAAATGAAATAGGTATGATCCAAGGTTTCAATGGCAGCAGCGCATCTAGGACAAACTGGATACAAGTCTATGCCCCTCCTTTGCAGATTCCATCCAACCGGAGGTAGATTGTGAAGGCACTTCCAAATAAACATGCTTTTCAGAATAACCCTGAAAATTCTTTGTATATGATCTCTCTCTCTCTCTCTCTGACACACACACACGGGTAGTTCTAAATGCATTCCAAATTATACGTTGGACATCCCATTACTTGCAAGTAAAAATTTAAATTTTTTTTTTTTTTTGGTTCAGTTTGAACATCCAAATAATACCAATCTTATCATCCAATCAGCCTCTGCCGCTGTCAGGCCACTTCTGCCACCATAGGGCTGCTTCTTCCATCACAAAACAAAACAAAATTGAATAAAATAATTTTAAAAAATAAGAACACAGAGATAGTGTGGAATATGAATTTAGCAGATCAATATATACATGACTCAACTTTACTGCAAAAAATCGGTGCCTGTATATATACATGACATAAAACCCTTCCACTGAAATTGAAAGGGTTCCCATCAAAAGGCAACTCTCTAATCAAATACACACAACCACAAATATATACGTATATATGTAAGTTTATTTATTGGGACTTACACGCAAGTCCTTTTATATATATATATATATATATATGTACAAAGAGAGATGATATGAGTTACCAGGAGGAGGAGGAGGTCGGTGAATCTGTGGACGGGCAAATGATTCTGCTGTGATGGTAGCCATGGTGCTGAGGCAATGATGCCAGAGATAACAGCCGGAGCTGAGAATGATAGAGATTAGGGTTTTGATTTAGGTCATTCAGGTAATTTGATTTGAGGATAAAATTGTATTAAAAAACATATAGAAAACAATCAACATTTTGGGATGTATTTAGAGTCACCCCTCTCTCTCTCTCACACAATGTGGCAATTAAACTTTGAAGCACATTTCACATTCAAATTTGGCCCCCATTTATTGTCATATTAAGGGGTAAAGTTTGCTATTATATGTGAATCTTTTTTTATTATTATTATTTTTTTTAGAAAAGCATAAAATGCATCAACATATTACTAAAAAGCAAAGTACATAGAGAGTGCTTACAACATTACAAACAACACTACATGGGATTAATATAAATACTGCACAACCCATGTATTACCATCATGGGGAAAACTTCTCAAGAGTAACCTTCAACACGCAATCCTTATTTCCCTCTTCTCCTTTACTTTCCCACTCTTTCTCTCCTTTAGTTTCTCCGATTTACCTCAGCTCGTTTGACCCTCTTGAAGAAGTAAAGAGGAAAGGGAATTTGGGTAAGGTGGGGTGCTCAAGTGTTGGTGGTTGTGGTGGGGTTATGAGCTTGCAGTGGTGGTGCGCAAGTTTTGATGGCGCAGGGGTTATGGTCTTGTAGTGGTAGTGAACCAATTGCTAATTGGTGGGCTTGCAGTGTTGGTAGTGGCATGTAGGTAGTGGTGGTGGAGGTTGTGGATTGTGATGGTGACAAAAGAGAGGTGGCTTGTGATGGTGTGGTGGTGATGTGGGCTATAATATCGGTGGCGAAAGAGAGCTAGTCACTAGTGTGTTGTAATGGGAGAGGAGGATAGAGAGGTATGAGTGGACTTTTATTATTATTTTTAATTAGGTTGATTTTCTTTGCTTTAATTCATTTAGTAAATTAAGTGCAAAATGGGAAAATTTAAGGAAAAAATGATAGACGTCATAATTTTTTGTTCAACTCACTGTCGAATTTCTAATTGCAAAGGTGAATTAAATTGTGAGATCAGAAAATCCTCTCACATGGATTATTGAAGAGATTCAATGAATAGATGAGTTTTGCCCCGTAGATCAGCAAAGATAAACATGGTTGACACCACCCAATCAAGGTTGCTGGTCAGGGACACTCTGATGATAAAGTTAGACCTCTTGAATTAAAGAGAATAGATGAATAACTTGTAAAATGCTTGTGTGTATTGTAGAGATGAGGCATACTTGTTTTCTATGGGATGCTCTTCTTTTATAAAGGTGGGTGTGACTTGTCCTAGACATTTACTCGATGGGTTTCCTTACTTGGGCTGAACCCATTGTTAGGACTTGCTTGGATTACCCTCAATAAGTTGGGAAATTTTAGGTTACCACAATTGTCCCAAAATTTTTATTTTCTTTGATAGAAAAAATGAAAGTTTTTATCGTCGAGTTGATCACAACAAAGAGGACCAAAGCAGTCCAGATCGTGATATATGCGACGTAAAACCCCAGATCTTAGTTGATCTAAGGTTTTGCTCATAATATCCTCCAACAAGTCTATATGTATGTATGTATGCATATGTGTGTGGTAAATCAACAAAACTTGTTAGAGGATCCCCAATGTGAGTATTTTTTTTAACAGACAAGCTTTTCTGTTCTCTCTCTCTCTCTCCTTCCCATTTTTTTTGGTAGTTGTTGATGGTTGATTGTTGTTGATGATGGTAATGAATGCTATTGATGATGAAACAGATTTGTAATAGATAAAAATTCCTAACAGATTTGTTTAAGAGTAGAATTGTTTCAAATCTATTAAACCTATTTGTTGAAAAATTGTTTAAGAGTGGAATTGTTTAACATATAAGAAAAATAAATTTTGATTGTGTTTGGTAAAGTTTTAGAATTATGATTTGAGAATAAAATTGTATTTTGAGTTTGTGAGCTTTGGAATTATGATTTGAGTGTAGAAAATTTGTTTGGTTATGAGTTTTAAAAAGAATTTGAATTGAGTGATGTAACATATAATATTGAAAAGTGGATGTTTTGAAAAGTAAGTGTGAAATTAATTTTCTAAAGCTATAACCAAACAACACACTCCAACTAAGTGATAGAATTAAACTTCAAAAACTTTACCAAGTAGAGCCGATTTTAACAAATAAGTTAACAGATTTCTTTAAACCTAATTGTTAAAAATTGTAATGAATAAGAATGAATTCTTAGGTAGGAAAAATGAATTCTTATTTTAACATATAAGAGATTGTTGTTTTAATAGATAAGAAAAATTGAACAGATAGTAGAAAACATAAAATTTGAAAAAAACAATGAACAGATAGGAAAATTTTTGTACAAATATGTTAATCATATAGTTTAATTTTGATACTGTCTAAAATATAATTTCATAAATTGTGATTTTTTTAATATACATATTTTATGGCATAAAATATTATATGTTTAAAATATATGGTATATGATGTATCTGTTATAAATATTATTTAAATAGAAGTTACTGTGCAAGATCTAATTTTACTATTTACGTTTCGAAAAATCCGGTTAGCCACTATTCATCTTTTGACAAAATTGATATTGATTAGTTGTATTCTTTTGACAAAAGTGATATTGGTAAATTATTTTCTTTTGATAAAATTGATATATCCACATGAGATGGTTGATTATTTTTATTAGAGTGTATCTAAAAATCTCTACAAAGGGTATATATTTTCATATATGATATAAATATTATTTAAAGAGATTTTACTATGCATATAAATATTTTAATAAAAAAATTACTATGTAGTCAAATATTTTAATAAAAAAGTTACTATGCAGTTACTGTGCATCATTTGTTTTTTTACGAGAAATGTTTGAAATAAAATTGTATTATTTATCGAAAGCGATGTTTGGCCAATTGTTTCAAACTTGGCATCTTCTCCGCGTGAATCCGAGCCACATTTTAAGCATCACCAAAGTCAGAGGAGGAGCGTGCCCTTTCAACGGATATTATTTCTATTATATGTAGAAGTATTTTGGTGTGAGAAAAATAAGAAGTGAAGAAGAGAAAATTTTGTGATATTGACAATTATTTGTTTCATGGGAGTTGAAGATGATGAGATAAATATAAATTCTCTTACATATGATGAATTATTAGATTTTATTGAAGGGGTACATGATGATTTTCAAAAGATAATTTCAAAACAACCTTTTCTCAAAAAATCAAATAAATGTCTTTTAAATGAAAATGATGTTTTCAAAAATGAAAATGAAATTTTGAAAAATAAAAATGAAAGTTCAACAAAAGAAAATGAATATTTATCTAATATAACTGAAATGTTACAAAAAAAGAAAAAAAAAAAGAAAAGGAGATAAAAGAAGAAAATTACATTTTGAAATCAAAAGAATCTCCTATTTTGAAAAATGAATTAAATGATTTAAAACTTGAAAATGAGGATTTAAAAAATGAAAATATAAATTTAAAAAAATCTTCAATTGATTTGAAATTTGAAAATGAGACTTTTAAAAATGAGAATGAGA